ATAGAAAGTGTGGGGACCAATCTTGACAGGAAAATCAACTTCTCCATCCACCGATCTTCTCGAACCATCAAACGCTTGGACATTTAGAGTGGAGGGCCTCATCATTACTCCGTCCATATTCAGCTTAAACAAGGTAACCTTAGGCATCACATTGAGTGAAGAACCTGTATCCACCAAAACTCGAGATAAAACAGTGTCCAAACACTTCATAGAAACATACAGCGCTTTATTGTGGGCTTTGCCTTCAACCGGGAGTTCATCATCACAAAAGCCCAAACAATTACCCACAAAAATATTGGTGACTATTCCTTCAAACTGGGCCACAGAGATGTCTTGGGTAACATGAGCAGAACATAAGGTCTTCAATAAGGCGTTGCGGTGAGCCTCTGAACACAAAAGAAGAGATAATATGGAAATCTTGGATGGTGTCTGGTTGAGATGGTCCACTACTTTGTAATCACTCCGCTTGAGAATTCTCAAAAGTTGCTTCGCTTCTTGTCCTTCAGAAAGTTTGGGTTGATTATCCATTACTTGCTTTCCCTTAGCCTTAGCTAGAGCTTCACTGTTAGTTTCCTTAGGAGGTGGTGGTGGAGGAGAAAAGGTCCGACCACTGCGGGTCATGTTGCTTGTTCCCGCAATGTTGGTAAAATTCTTGTCACTTACCAGAGGGCACTCATACCTCTTTCCATGAATATAGACTACATTGTACTCCCAGGGAATTGCCTTCGAGTCGTCGCTTGTAGGAGGAATAGGAGCTTGAATCATTGTGGGGGTAATAGGAACCTGAATTGTTAACAGAATACTGGGGGTGGCTAAAAAACTTCTCGGATAGTAAGGGATTTCAAGAACATCGATTTCTTCTTCTCGGAATACTTTCTCTATCTGTAAGACACCTTCATCGATCAACTATTGGATGGCCGTCTTCAACTCGGCACACTCTTCTGGTTTGGAAGAACAGGTTAAGCAGAAGTCATGGAGTTCTTGTAGCACTCCATGCTTCAACAAATGTTCTTTGACAGTTTCCAAATATATCTTAATTTCATCAACCTTTGATACCAAAACCTGTTCATTAACTTCTTCAATAGCATGGACTGTTCCCCCTTGATGAGGAGGCATGGGATTATTTTGAATATTTGGACCAACAAGGTTGAAGTTAATGGCTTTTGCATCAATGAGATCTTGAACTTTGCACTTGAAAGGTCTGCAATTTTTAATTGTATGGCCTGGGGAACCAGAATGGAATTCGCAATGAGCATTAGTATCATATCCCCTAGGGAGAGGATTTGGCGGTGGACCGAGTTCGCGCAATTGAACCATTTGACTAGAAAGTAACTGTGGGAGAAGCTGAGCGTAGGACATGGGAATGAGATCAAACCTTCTTTCAGGGGCTCTCTGTCTTTGAGGAGCTCTTGGGCCTTGGAGATGTTGATTCAGTTATTGATAAGCTGTAGGAGGTGCAAACTGTTGTTGCGGAACATAATGCGGTTGCGGAGAGAAAGGTCGTTGGTGGGCCACCCAGGGTGCTGGAGTTGTAGCAGCGTATACTTGTGGAACAAATTGGTTGGGAATAACATCAGGTGTAAGAAAATAAGGGAATCGGACTTGAGGAAATGTGGGAGCTCTTCCTTGGTTGACAGTGATGGCACTGGTCTCGCCCTCTTTCTTCTTGACAAAACCGGAAAATGGTTTTCTATTAATGCTTGCATTGTTGTTAGCATTATTAGGAACACCTTGAATCGTTCCAGCCTTAATACACGTCTCAACACGTTCACCAATGATGACCATATCAGAAAATGAAGTAGAAGTGCTATTGAGCATATGCTGGAGATAAGGGCCTCGTAGAGTACCCATAAACAGATCAATCAATTCTCGATCCAAGAGAGGAGGTTGGACCCTTGCAGCTAGTTCACGCCACCTCCGAGCGTATTCTTTGAAAAATTCTTCAGACTTTTGTACCATCCCCTGGAGCTGAGTACGACTCGGAGCCATGGCAGTATTGTAATGGTAATGTTTCAAAAAAGCATCAGCAAGCTCTCCCCAAGTGCTGACATGAGATCTTTCCAATTGCATATACCAATCTAATGATGCCCCGGTCAAACTGGCGTGAAAGAAATGCATGAGCAAAGGTTCATTTCTAGCATAGGCCGCCATTTTGCGACAATATGAATAGAGATGTGTCTCTAGGCAAGAAGTGCCTTTGTATTTGTCAAACTCTGGGACTTTAAACTTGGGAGGAATAACTACCCCAGGTACGAGGCATATTGCGGCAGTGTTGAATCCGAAAGCCTTGATACCTTCCATGGCTGTTAGTCGCTCCTCGAGAGCATGATACATTTTCCCAGTTTCGGCCACCCCGGCAGCAAGGTTCACTTGGGGTTCATCGAGATCAATAATATCATGATAATCGTCGACATCATTCCTAGGAGCACCGGTAGGAGTCTCAACATTAGCATTGTCATTTCTCCCATTAGCAGAAGTGGAAGGAGCAGCAGTAGTAAGCTTGGAAACACTTTGGTGTAGTTCTTCTTGACCCTTGTTCACAGCATGAAGAGTTTCCATGAGTTGGTCCATGCGAGTACCCACAGTGTCCATATCCCGACGGAGTGCATTCTGATTCTCTTTAAAAAGATTCATTAGCCTTTGCTGGTTGCCTCTGGTATGGTAAGGATGTGGATGAGTCGTCTTTGCTGTTTACTGGATTGAGAAAGGGGACCCCAATGAGTTTTTGTTGCGAAAAAATGAATGCATGGTAATATGGATGAATGCTTTATCTTCATTTCTGATGAGACCTAAAGACTTCTCTATCCTTTTTTAAAATTTCCTTTTTTTTGAAAAGTTATATCAACAAGACTTGTCTTTGGATTTCTCTAGATATGAGATATATATACATGATGATGTGATGTCATGTTATGCTATAGAATGAAGTCTCAGCTCCATATATTCTGGATAATCATTGCGTAGCCCGTTGCACAGGCTGAAAGTAACAGGACCAAAAGTTCGACGTCACAGGCATGGAGTCAAAGTAACCACCCATGAGGTATGTAATAGGAGTTTATCACCTGCCGAACAAGGTTCTAAAGAGTTCTCGAAGTCTACGCTCTTCCTTTGGATATTACCGACGTCCCAATTACTTGGTAATCAGTAATATTCGCAGGAAAAACCCGTCCGAGTGTAATATCGCGTGACAACTACTTCCGGATTACTCTGTTACAGTCTCCGCATTGCACCTAAAAGGCCAAGATGGGTTAATGGTTCTACGGCTCTCAGCTTCTTGAGCTCCCAGGTCGAAAGCAACGACGTCTTCTCGATTACTCGGTAAACATCACTACTTTCAAGGGGACCTCCACTGAGTGGGGGATTTTCATGCCTCCTTCTTCGGGATTACTCCCTCAAAGTTAACATGATTATACCGCCCGTCCTAATCCTATGTGTATCCCAAGTCCGGGATAAGACTTATCAAAAGTAATCACCAAACCCAACATCACAATGTATCCATAATATGTGAGTAGCAACAAATATGCAATATATACAAAAGAATAAAATAAATGAAGAAATAAAACAGTAAAGCAAGATAAAGCAAATAAATAAACACCCAAAATACAAATAAACAAAACTAGGAGATACTCGCTAAAGGTCCCCAGCAGAGTCGCCAGCTGAAGCCACCGGCAGAAAACACAGAGCCGCCACCGAACTTTATTTATCCCGGAGGAAGGGGAAATATCGATAAAACCACAAGGGAATGGATAAGAGGGTCTTGCGACTAAGAGAAAGGGTAAGGGAGTCGGTTATGCGAGGGGAAGGTATTAGCACCCCTCACATATGTTGTACTCAACAGGATCCATTTTGTTTGTTTGTCTTAAAGGGTGTATTCATATACAACTAGGCTTGCTTAAGGGGAAATGAATGGTTTTTGATTATTGCGTTCGTGAGGGTTTCGCGACCCTTTGCCTACGTATCCAATGAAGGAATTAGAACACCGTAGTTCCTCTAGAAAATGATTGATTTGTTCTTGTTTTTTAGTGAGCGATGTTAACGCGAGCATTCTAGCAATAGGCACGGCCAGTATCGCAGTAGAACTGAGATAACATGCCCTTTGGGAGAGTTTTGCTTGGTTGAGTGTTTTGCGAGTTTTTTAGAATAAATTCGAGTAATGATTAAAAGGCGTTTTTTTGGATTTTTGATTTGTGAATGTTAAGGTTTTTAATTACAAAAGAAAAGGGTTAAGAGGGAGACTAGAAACCTAATTGTTTGTTATGTACAAATGAGCTAAAAAGTCTATTTCGACATAAAACGATTGAAACAGAGTTTAATCGCCTCATGGAAGTTCCTAAGGGAATAGGTTATCAAGAATTCAACCAAACAATCAAACAGAACCAAAAGCAGCGGAAATATAAAGCTAATATTTTATTGTGATTTTTATCAAGTAAAGAAATGTGGCTTAAACGAAAATAACCAAAATGATTATCTAAACTAAAACGATTATTGAAATAAATTCACGAACTTACTAATTTGATTCTAAGACTACACTAATTGATTGAAGATTATAAAGTTAAGAAAAATTAAAAAAAAAAAACTAATTCATAAAAAACAATAAAATTAAAAAAAATTTAAAAAAAAAAACTAAACAAATTAATGAAAAGGGTGTAAAGCAGAATTATGGAGGAGTATATTGATTTTAGGGATGGGCACACAAGGAAAAAACAAATTTTTGGCTCAAGAAGGACCGGGTCGGGTCAGACCCGCCCCATCCAGTGAAATAAGGGAATGGGTTCATGAACCCTAGAGCAAACAGCAACGACGGCTCCTTCTTTCTCCAAACGACGCAGAGGGAAAGAAAAAAAACCAAAACAAGCAAAAATGCTCCACTGTTTCGATCAACGTCAATGATACTTCGACATCTACACCTCCATCTAATTTTGAAGTAGCGCCTTTGTCTCAATTGTAGGGATAAGTGTCCTTCCAATTGCTTCTTCCATTGACTCAAATCTCAGCGTTAGGTTATGTCTCGTTCCCGATCTGTTCCGACAACGTTAATGATGAGAAACAGGTAAACACTTGCGATATTCCGTTCATTCTTCTTCTACTTCTTCATTTGATTTTGTTTTTGTTTCTCTTTCACATTTCAACGGTGTTTGTTGTTGTTTCTACAGGTTTGATGTTAAGAAGAAATATTGATGAAGTTGCAGATGAAGGTGATGATAATGTATGTTGGGTAAAGATGATGATGGATGATGTTAATTTTGTAGTGGAGGCAGAGAGATGAAGATGGAAGGTCGCAAAGATGGAGTAGAGAGAAGAGAGGGTTTTCAATTTCTTTTTGGTGAGTTCTTTTAAGTTTTCTTGTAACTGCTCCTTTTCTATCTGAATTTTTTTTTCGTGATCAAATTTTCTATGAATTGTTTCTCCATGCCCTTTCTCATGTAAACTTAGTAAGGTAACTATATTACTTAAATCATCATGCAGGTACAGGAAAAAAGAGCAACAAAGGAAATCATTCAGTCACAACATAAGCCTTATTCCCAGCAAATCCCATACCCTTTTTATCATGTAAGCATCAATAATAAAATGAAGAAGAAGAACAAACCAGTGGGAGATTTTACAATTTAGTGGTACTGCTTCAGGTATGGACCTCTTTTTGTATTATGTGGATTCTTCTTCTTACGCTTTTCGATTTGCAATCCGATTGATGCTTGGATATGATGACTGTTTGGTTGTTGAGGAAGAAGACTGAACTAGTTGAAATGTAGTTGTTTCTGTATTGAAGGGGTTCGGTTTTTATTATACAACAGTGTATAAGCAGGATTACAGTTGCAAGGTGCCTGGAATATGTCGGTTGTGAATTTTTAAGGTTGAAGAGTATAGTATGGAGGATTTTTTGGGTTGATTTCGTTTGTTTCTGGTTTGAAATTTTGAGTTTTTTACTGGTTTTTTAGACTGATGCAGCTTTGACAGTTTTTTTTTGTTTTGCTGTTTTTGACAGTTTGTGGTTTGGTTTTGGTTTTTTAAGCTATGTCCATATCCTTAATGAAACCGTGGTGTGTTTATTTATAGTGCAGGGGTGGAAATGTAGGGGGGAAATTGGTGAGATTTGAACAATTTATGATGATGTTTTATGCCTTTAAAGTGCAGGTTTTTAACTTGCCTATTTGGTGCAAGTTTTGAACAGGTTTTGATAGTTTTGTTGGACAACAATGTGCAGGTTTTTTCTTTCCTCTTTCGTCTTTCTGTGATGCAAAGCTTACTTCTTTTTTCCTTAAAGTTCTGAAGGGTTTGTGTATTTGGGAAATGATGAAATGAGGCATTTGGGCTGCTAGTCTTTGACTTGTTGCTTGTATGTTCAAAATGATGCTGCATTGTTTGCTTGTTTTGTTACCATTTGTTGCTGTTGCTTTTTGTCTTAGCTTGCCTACCATTCTTGTTTTTCCTTGGCATGTGCGCTAGGCTGCTGCTCCTGTGTGTTTTGCTTTGGCCTGTGCGCTATGTTTTGCCTTGGCCTGTGCGTCATGCCGCTGCTTCTGTGTGTTTTGCTTTGGCCTACTATGCATATTGTCTTGTGCGCTGTTATGTTGTTGCTTGCTTGCTGCATGTTTTTGCAATTTTTCTTTTCTTCTTTTCTCCCTTTTTGTGAACCAAAGAGAAAAACTCTTTGTGATTTGCAATTTGGGAGAAAACTAAGACATGATAAAAAAAAACATCTCCCTCTTTAACTGATTCCAAAAGGAAAACCCTTATGATGACATAACAATCAATTAACTCTTTTTTAAATTTTTTCATGTTTTGATTGCTAACCCTTTTTCTTTTTCTTGTTTCATGAGCACAATTATTGGACGATTCAAAGCGATATCGAACGATGAAAATACCAAGGCGAGGACGAATGACTTGAAGATGAAGACTTGAAGAAACACAAATTATTTTTCTCTTTTCTTTGTAATCAAAACAAATGTAATTTGTATTCCATATTGTAATTCATTTTTCATGCGCTTTGTAATCAGTCCAAAAAATGTAACGAATACGAAAGCTTGAATGATATATTTTTTTTAATGAATTCTCTTGTATAGAAATCGAACAACTCTCGATCTTGTTTAAATTCTGAAATTCTCTCTTGAATGATTCGAACGCACATCTCAACTTAGTAACTTGAATCTCAAGAAATCATGAATAATGGTTATAACTTGTATTCCAAACAAAACACGCGCTTTATCTTTAAACTCTCAAACATAACAAAATGAATGCTTAAGAATTTAATTCCACTGATTAATTCGAACCCCAGAACACTGGTCGCTTGAACCTTAGTCTTCAAATCATGCCTGAACCACACTTGCGATTCTCGAACAGAACTTTGACTTTGACATTCAACCCACAATAACTTGAAACTTAAGTGACAAAAACAAGTCATGATTATTATGAACCTTTAACCTCATTTTCCGAAGTGCTCGAACTCCATATTTGCCAATTCAACCTCCAAATTCTCGACTCAATGGCTTAGAGAATTAAAGAAGAAACTTGAAATGCGAGGAGGTGGAATTCTTGACCTAACGCATTGAGCTCTGAGCCATCCTCGAGGCAGGCGAAAGAAACATCTTCACATAAACCAAAAATATGAAAACCCTAGCATCATGACCGACACACATAGGGAAATAAAACCTAATCCAAACTCTGATAAATTTGAGCGAGAACCAATCCTTGTAACCTGACGACACAATTCATTCCATGATCCGCTAATCGAGAACCAAATGTGCTTCCGTTTTACCTGATAAGAAAAACCTCAAAACAAGATTAGACATAAAGAGGGCACAACCCTAAAACTTTAAACCAAAGCGCCTGATTCCCTGAGATGCGGGATATACAAATGACTGAATAATAAAATGATGCAAATAGAATTCAAAGTTCAAAGCCAGACAAGAATAAAAGAGATAGGGAAAATTTGGGGTACGACACTAAGGAGATTGAGTTTTACCCTCCCGGGACTCCTAATGTGAGCACTACTACCATTCCAAATCATGACTAAGATTGAGAGCGTCCATTTCATTTGAATTTTCAATTGTAATTCCTTTTGTTTATTTGAACACTTATCTATATGTCAAACTTTATTTTTTTCCATTAATGCATTGCATATGTTTGTCTTGAATTAATCCATTCATTTTCACTATATTTAAACTGTGCTTTTTACTTTTTTTTTGTGATATTCAACTCTCATTAAAAGCTATAAGCATTTAGAGGGAGGATGAAGAAAACGATACCATAATATCATACAATATGCTTTTGAACAGGTCTTGCTGACGATATACAGGTGTTGCTTTAATTCCTAAATAGTGGAGATATAAGGAAGTTAATCCCTAGTCAACCCTTTTGAGCCTAAGAAGTATGAGTTTTCTTTTTCACTCAAATTGAAACCCTTAATCATAACCTAGGGTAGGGTAGTTTCTCAGTTAATTCAATTATGCATTCAATCCCAAGCTTTTCCTTTGTACACAACAGGTAGTATAGAAGACATCCTTCCAAATCAAAAGTATATGATGGTTCTCCGTAATCATTAAGTCGGGAAGTCATTATCTTTAAAAAGAAAATCCCGCTAAGTTGAACCTATGAAGGAGACTTAGGGAAAAAACTGGGGCATCCCGCTAACTGTAATATAAAAAAAAATAGTTTAGACAAAAGTTAGGGATAATAAAGTCAAAAAGAGGTCACTACAAATCCTCAACAAAAGAAAGATGTTACAAGAAAAAATGACTACCTTCTCAAATAAACTTTCGGTCTCTGAACCATCACCAAGTATCAGTGCTATAATTCCAAACTCTATTGGGACCTAAATGCATAATTAACTGAGTATAGGACTGAAAGACATCATGTAGAATGGGTTGGGTACAAATAAACATTGAGCCTTTATCCTTTGTTTCTTAAACCGTGAACCAGGCCACATACAACCCTTCAAAGTCCTAACTAAAACATGGGTTAGTTCGAAAACATATTGTTACAAAAAAGTATCCCAACTCTTGTAAGGCTTACTATAAATCCTGAGTTGATATCACATTCTTACAAATTTTGTTTTACTAAAAAAATGCATTTTTTTAAACTTCAAGACAGACATAAGCTTTGCATTTTAATACCACTGTTTGCATATGACTAAGTGTTTGACAACAGAGAAATTTGCATGAAGAATATTCAATGAATGAAAATCCTCCCAATGGATAGAATTACTTCAGAGGATGGTTCAAAGAGAAAGACACTTCCAGTAACAGGCCTTTCATGGACACAATTGGTTATAAATCAAGGGGCATGACATGTTATTGTCCAACTCATATGTGGCAGTCAAGTCAAGATTCAAAGAATCTTTCAAAAGTGCTGAATAGCCAGGGGCAGATCTCCATCTGAATCACTTGGGGCATGTTACATTGATCATGATTTTTAGCAAAAGCCATTATGAAAATTTAATCTTCGGTATCACCAAATTGCTTGTATATGTCAACAGTATTGATGGTGTCATTCTTCCGTGAAAGTTCTTAGAAAAATATTGAGGAAGGTCAAGACTATCAAAAACCTGGTAATCAATGGTTGATCAATAACTTCACACATCGGGTGCACTAGACTATCCCAGGGGAAAATGGACTTCTGCATACGAAGGACCACATATGATCAAGAAAATATTTCCTGGCAGTGCTACAACACTTACTACGATGGACAATGAAAATTCCTCACGCCCTGTGAACGCGAACCTAGTCAAAAATACTACGCATGAAAAAGACACCCACTAGGTTGATTGGCAAAGGAAAAAATAAGGGAATCATGACGAACCAAAAGCGTTCGAGCAAAAATTAGGGACATATAAATAAAATTATACACCCGCAATTCGAAAACCTAAGAAGGCGGCTTGGGAAAAAAAGGGTATCCCCTGATGGACTGAAAATCCGAAAAGACAGTACAGGTAAAAGTTAGGGATTAAAGCATATGACTATGTCCCGTTACCTCATCACTTATTTATCACTCTGATCAACATTTACTAAAGACTCTAGAAGTTGAGATAATGTTCAAGTCATCCACAAATCCCCACAGAGAAATGTCCATGGAACTATCTCTACAGAACTATCTTCACAAGCTCATCCCCAACAGAGATATATTCCACAAAAAGTCTAATATACCCTCATGCAAAAATTGGGTCATATTCCAGCAGTTCACCTCTATATTCCTAATGGATAGATTGACCTGATCATCATCCCTGATAGGTCCCTTAGAGGATAAAGAAGTTTGATCATTTCCCTAGTGTACAGTAGAGACTTCTTCATCGCGGCCTATAAGATTCCAATCATCATCAAAATTTATTTCCTTGACATAGATTATAGGAATTTAATTCCCCAACAGAGTTTATTACTCCAACACCGTAAAACCCTAACAAAATTCTCTTCTCCAACAGGGTTTAATCAAAGTTGCTATCCCTAGAAGAGTTGCTACAATATCTGAAACTTGGACAAATAGAACAATAGAGGACTATCCATCTCTTTTATCCTCAATCAGGGTACATAAGAATCAAATCCTTCAACAAAAAGAACGGAGAACGACCTACTTTCCTTGAATGCCTCTATCTCAAGTAGAAGTAGAAGATCCCCAGTTGAGTATACTCAAACAGAAAGTGGGAATCCACAACAAAATCATTCCCAGTAGAAATTGAAGAATCACTTTCTTCATCCCTAGCAACAGTCCGAGATTTTTTCCTAGCTAGACTTTGTTAAAAGGAGCTACCAATATGCTTCAACAACATATCGCGTCCATACATCATTTCACAATACATCATAACATATGCATACTGAAATGCATATAACATTCTCATTTATTTTGAGAGCATCTCTACACAATGCATTACATACATCATGACATTACATAAAGCTAATTTTGTATTTTGATGTAATGTTCGCAAACAGACAAATATCATCAGCAATTTTCAAATAGGTTGCAGATTAATTCTCGAAACAGGATGGGGCAACTATCTATATGACCAGGCGGTATGAATTCCCAAAACATGACGGGTTTACCAACAAAAAACATGTCACAGATTAATTCTCGATACAAGATAGGGCAACTATCTATATGACCAGGCGGTATGAATTCCCGAAACAGGATGAGTTTACCAATAAAAAATAAGTCACAAATTAATTCCCGAAATAAGATGGGGCAACTATCTATATGACCAGGCGGTATGAATTCCTGAAACATGACGGGTTTACCAACAAAAAATAGGTCCCAGATTAATTCCCAAAACAGGACGAGGCAACTATCTATATGACCAGGCGGTATGAATTCTCGAAATAGAATGAGTTTACCAACAAAAAATAGGTTGCAGATTAATTCCCGAATTAGGATAGAGCAACTATATATATGACCAGGAGGTATGAATTCCCGAAACAGGATGGGTTTACCAATGAAAAACAGATTGTAGATCAATTCCTGAAACAGGACGGGGCGGCTATCTGCATGACCAAATGATTTCCTAAGGAGACTGCATTTTGTTGAGCATTTCCTTCAGAGATTCATTCTGAAAAGCATCTTCGTCATATACAATTAAGACATAAAATTCATTCTGACACTCCTCAACACATTTGTTAGATACAGTCAAACACAGACTCATTCTAGTATACTTCTCAGATACCGTCGAACGTAGGCTCATTCTAATACTCCTATCAACGGATACTTTAGATGGAATCTATAAGCCTATCTCCAACGACACTCTGTCAATTTTATGAATGGAATATTTAAGCCCATTCGAGTAATATAGTCAACCAACATCATTACTTTGTGCACCAACGAGTGCAAATTTCTGGGCACTTAAGTGTTCAATCTTTTTCCACCTTCAGATTATGAATGTCGGACATGCCAATCTAACTCTTTAGGTTTAAGAAGATTCAACAGGGGTAGCTATTGTACCCCAATATTTTCCCTCCCATTTTTGAAGACAATTGATTCAATACACCTCGTCA